ACAAAGAAAGACTTCGAGAAAAAAATATATGAATAGATAGGACTGATCTTCATTTATTCGGCTTCTTCAAACTGACAAGAAGTACAATAACATTTTTGCTATTGTGCTTTTGTCGAGTTTTATAATAATATCTTTTTTTTTTGTCCACAGCAATCATTTAGATCTTTTTTTTTTTTTGTTAACATCGGTGCAACTATTACCAGTGTAAATCATTATTTGACGTGTTTTATACAATGAGTTCAACAACACCAAAGCATCCATCAATGCCTTTACTTACAAAAAAGATAACATCATCAGCTAGTAATAGTTCAACATTAGGAACAAGTATTAATATACAACGAGCTACATCTGATGATGATATTGCTCATCTAGTTGAAGCACCATTAGCAAGAGAATCTTCAAGTGGTTTTAATTATCAAACATTAACAGAAACATCTCCATTAAATGAAACAAAAACAAAAACTAGACCACCAGTTCGTTCACATAGTTCAACAAATGCTGAACTTAGTTATCATTTACAACAATTGAAAAATTTAAGTAAACGTAAAACACTTAGTACAGGTGATCATAATACAAATGAAGAACGTATTCATTTAACATCATCAAATCTTAAAATTATATGTAATGAAAATGGTAAAGAAACATCAATACATTCAACGATGGAATTACAAACAATTGAAACAAGTATTGATTTACCTGTTTCATGGAAACCAGCTATACAACAAATAACTATTCCAAGAGATGCATGGGATCATAAAATTGAATTTCTTCTTGCTGTTATTGGTTATGCTGTTGATTTAGGTAAATCTTATTTCTTGAGGTTGTTTTTTTTTTTTAAATATAAGCATATTTTAATATTTAGGTAATGTTTGGCGTTTTCCAACGACTGTTTATAAGAATGGTGGTGGAGCATTTTTTATTCCTTACTTTGTTCTTCTAATTTTTGGTGGTTTACCACTTTTCTAGTATATATAATCATATTCGAATAGCTTATATTTATTTTAATTTTATTTTCTATAGTATGGAACTTGCTCTTGGTCAATATCATCGAGCAGGTGTATTTACAATATGGCAACATGTACGTTTATTTTTATTGAATTTAATTTATGTTAAGATTTTCTTAACAGATATGTCCATTAGTCAAGGGTATTGGTTGGGCAACAGTATTAATTAATTTTATGACAGCAACATTTTATAATACAGTTATATCATGGGCTTTTTATTATTTGGTTATGTCATTTAATGGTTTACGAACTGAATTACCATGGAAAAGTTGTGATCATACATGGAACACAAAATGTTGTGTACCAGCAGATATAAGACTATATAAAAATTCATCTGAACAAATGTTTTTAGCAGAAAAAAAATTAAATATAACAACAATACAATCATCAAATAGTTGTATTCGATTTGTATATTCAACTGAAGAATATTTTTAGTAAGTTTGTTGTTATTCTTTTTCTTTTTTTTTTGATTTTAATTTTGAATATTTTTAGTCGACGTCTTCAAGAAGTAGATAAAGCAGATGGTTTTAATAATTTAGGCAAAGTTAAATGGGAACTTGCCTTAAGTCTTTTAGTTGTTTTTATTCTTGTCTATTTTGCTCTTTGGAAAGGAATTAAAAGTTCAGGCAAAGTTAGTTCTATTTTTTTGAATATTCAATCATAATATAGTTAATTTTGTTTTTTTTTTTAATAATTTTCATTAGGCTGTATGGATTACTGCTATTGCTCCATATGCAGTTTTATTCATTCTATTAATTCGTGGTGTTACTTTACCTGGTGCATCACTTGGCATACATTATTATCTTCGACCTAAGATGGAATTATTGAAAAGTTTTGAAGTAGAAATAATTTTTTTTTGTTTTTTTTACATCGTAAAAAGTAAAGTCTATTTTTTTTTGTTTTTTTTTTTCATAAATAGATTTGGAATGCAGCAGCTACTCAAATATTTTTTTCACTTGGACCAGGTTTTGGTGTTCTTTTAGCTCTTTCATCATATAATAAATTTCATAATAATTGCTATCGGTAAATAATTTTTCTTTTTTTTTTTATTGATTCAGATTTTGTATTTTTTTTTTTTTATTCAATAGAGATGCATTATTAACAAGTACAATCAATTGTGCAACATCAGTTCTAGCAGGTTTTGTTATTTTTTCAACACTTGGTCATATGGCTGCTGTATCAAAGAAAAGTATTGACGAAGTTATTGAAGAAAAAGGTTAATTTAAAAAAAATTATTTTGTTAAAAATATTTTATACATTTGAAAATATTAGGTTCCGAACTTGTTTTCATTGTTTATCCACATACAATTGCTTTAATGGATTGGTCAACATTATGGGCTGTACTTTTTTTCTTTATGGTTATTACATTGGGTATTGATAGTACAGTAAGTTTATTTGTTTTAATATTATTATAAAACTATATAATTAATAAAATAATTTTAGTTTGGTGGTCTTGAATCAATAATTACTGGTTTATGCGATGAATATCCGAATATATTTGGACGTCATCGTTCATTATTTGTACTTGGAGTTCTTATTATATGTTATTTAGGTGCATTACCAACATGTACTTATGGTGGTGATTATATAGTCACTTTAATGAATGAAATAGCAGTTGCTCCAGCTATTCTTCTTGTTGTATTTATTGAATGTATAGCTGTCTCATGGTTTTATGGTAAAATAATAATTAATAATAATAATAACAACAAAATTCAAATCTCAATCTATTATCTTGTTTTGTTTTGATTTATTTAGGTGTTAATCGATTTTCATTTGATATTAAAGCAATGATTGGTGCAAGACCATCATTATTTTGGAGAACTATTTGGTATCTTATTAGTCCAATGTTTTTATTTGTAAGTATAAATTTATTGATTTTATTATAATTAATTATTATCATTATTAACTTAGGTAATATTCTATATTGCCATGAATAATTTTCTTTCTGGTACAACTTTAATTAAAACAACTTATTTAAAAGATTTACCAATATCTATACAAATATGGTCATATCTTATGGTATTTTTACCAATGTTATGTATACCAGGTTATGCCATTTATAAATTATTTATAACACCAGGAAAAAATTTTGATGAAGTAAAAGAAAAAAAGAATTCATTCGATTAAGAGTAGAATTATTGTTATTATTTTTTTTTTTATTGTTTAGCGTCTTGAACGAGCCATCAAACCCGAAGAACCATTACTTGAACTTATACATTCTCGATCAACTGGTGGACAACAACAACAAGATAAAATTGAACTTCTTTAATCATTTAATATATGGTCATATTTATTCATTGTTCCTTATTTTTTTTGTTCTTTGTAAAAAAAAAAAAAACTAATGTCTATCCAGAAAATAATTTAAACTAATAAATCATTTATTTCCCATTTTTTTTTCCATATATGTACAATTTCAAAAGTCTTTAGAAACTATTTCGAAATAAAATTAGTTCAATATATTGAATATAACGCATGATGTAAAACTTTTTGAATAAGATACTCCCTCACCTATTATGAAATATAGCAGAAAATTTTAAATGTTAGATTAGAATCAGAATGTGATAGCCTAAAATAAAATTTATTACAAATACACTAAAAAATAAAAAGAGCAAACATTTAATATGCTAATTATTAGTTATGTGTAACAATTTTGTCAACAATATCACTTTTTCATAAAAAATAAGTTGATGACATTGCAGCTTCTTGATTATCAGACTGACAAAATCGGTTTCATTATTTCTAAGGATTATTGCAAGATTTTCGAATTCTGGCTAAATATTTTTGGATGACTGTCATCCTCTTCATATTTTACAAAGAAATTTGTAATAGAAGTTATCCAATAAGGGTATTATCGATGTGAAGGATGTATATTATCTAGAAAGATAGAACATGATACAGCCAAGCAAAATCCAGTAATACTAAACTAAATTGGCTATCTTTATGACGAACATATCATACATTCAATTTCAAGTAGGTTGAGATCAGATCTATCCTTTGTAGATCTGTTAGTGCAATATGTTCGTTCAGACTTTAGAACACTTACATCGATATCATTCGCAGCAAAAACAAAGATGTATTTAATTTCTATACATTCAAAATTACAATAACTACATTTTCATCAAAACTATTTATTTATTCATTTGTCAAAGAATTATCATTAAAAATATCAAGTCCAGAATTATTTTATATAGCATTAGATTAGTCAAAAAAAAAAATTGTCTACTTTTTTTATTAGATTTTTAAAAATAGTTGTATGTGAAGTTTCTATATGAATTCTTCTTCAATATTATTCTCCTATATTTTAATTTTTTATATCTAGGACAAAATCAAATTATATTATAATATTTTTCAATTAATTTCTATTGTAATAAATCTATACTATTGTTTCCAATATTTTTATTTAACATAAAATAGTATACTGATATCATTCTTTTCGTTAATACATAGAATTTTAATTAACCAATAAGCCAACATTATTCACGTATTAGACAGATATGATAGACAATAGGATGAGAAGAACAATATCTATATTTGTTCATCGATGAAAGATAATAATAGCAAACATGATCATCAAAATAGTATGCATGTAACAATAAAATCATCTATTTTAATCGATTTGCATAGTTTATAGAGTGTTGTCAAATAAATAGAATTCATCAATCTTATCATTTTTCATTGTAATAATCATTAAAAGAAAAATTCTTAAATAACCGACTATTCTTTATCTCATATCAACAGCAAAAAAAAAAAGGGAGAAACCTCTATCCATCTCATCCATAACAAATGTTTTAAAAGACAAACATACTCATACACATATCAATATATATATATACATAAAGACAAGACAATGAAAAAGAAAAAAAAAAAAGAAAAGAAATCAAGTACGATATAGATAAGAAAGAAATTGATTGGAATGTGTGTACATCAAGAGTAAACAACGGCTACAAAAAGAAAAGAAAAGAAAAGTGAACATTTAGCAATAGAATATAAGAAAATTCACAATTTTAACACGGACGGTGTCTTTTGTAAATGAGAATTATTATTATTATGTGAACGATAAAGTTCACTCTCATCATCATCACTCATACCATTATTTATTTGAGATCCACTTTGATTTATACTATTACTTATATTATTTTGTGTTATTGGACTTGCTGTTGATGAAACAGTACGTTTTAAATTAAATGTATCATTTTGTGGTCGAACAGTTATTATTAAATTATGACTATTAGCTACCATCATATCTGTTACTTGATCAAGTGTTTTTCCACTTACTTCAATACCATTAACTTCAATTATTTCATCACCAACTGATAATAAACCTGTTGATTCAGCTAAACCACCAGCAAGTAAACGTGATATAAATACACCGGGTACATTTTCAACACCATTTGAACCATATTTAATAGCAACACCATCACGTATATAAAAACCTAATGGTTTACTTTCTTTATAACGATGTAATTTAACACGACGATATGTAACAGGTAATATTTCAACATCAATTATTGATGAAACAAGACGAAAATCAGGTTGTATTTCAATATTACGTTGTGGTGATAAATTATTTTTATCTGATGATGAATGTATTAATGATGATAATTGATCTGATATTTTTTTTCGTTTTCGTAATGAATCAGTTGAATATTGATAAGATTCACCTAGATTGTAAAACAAAAAAAATTAATTATCTATAGAAACAAAAAAAAAAAATATCTTTTTTTTTTTTTTGTTACCTTTTCGTTGTATAAATATTCTTAATAAACCTGTATTAACACGTAAAATATGTTCGATAATTGTATCATTATTTATTGAAAGAAGTTCACCATCTTTATCTAAATAAGTTATATGAAATGGAATATGTTGAAGATTATGTAAATCTTCAATTAATTTATGAAAATCATCAAATTTTATTGGATTTTTTCGATCGAGTTCAAATCGACGAAATTCAGCACCAAACTAAAAAAGAAAATTTTAAATTAAATTAAATTAAAAAAAAAAAAGAAAATTGAAAAACATACTTTGCTTTTCACTTCTAATAATGATAACATTTAACAATCTAAAAATTGTAAATAACTGCGATATCTATGTTCTTTGACATAAATAAATAAACAAATGTGAAAAGAGAATGTTGTTGTGTCTCATTTGTTCTGTTTTATAATTGGTAAGAAAAGATATGTATATAGATGACACTATCTTACATTGAATAGAGTATTCATATCATATATAATAGTATGAGAAATATTTTATTTTATTTTTTGACTGAGCAATAATAGAAATATGTATCATTTATTTTTATAAGTAAAATGTATAAATAAATATTCGTTACATAATCTAGAAAAATAAACTATTGTTCTTCTTGTTATTTAAT